CATCACATCACATCACATCACATCACATCACATCACATCACATCACACTGTATCACATCTCCAGACCAAAACTAGCTTCATTTGTGTTTTATTTACATGCAAACCAAATTATCAACACTTATCTAAGAATTTACTGTCCACAATGAAATTAACAAATCCCTCAAAGTTACAAGTCTCTTTAATAGTTTTATATTTTTCCTTTTCCATATTACCTAAATGGTTCTACACAATCTTTCAGTCCATTTTGTAGCTATATTCCAACTGTGTTGATTTTTATTATTTGCAAACAAATGTGTAAATAATACAATAAGCATGCTATCTGTCTCCAAACTTCTATAATCTTAAAAATGTAACAGCTAAAAGGCAAGAATATTATTTTATTAAAAAGCCACAGTACACAGTTTCCATCCTGTTTTACAATAAGATAGCCGATGCATTATTCATTTTGCAACCTTGTAGAGCTGTGATGAAAGCAATTTGCATGTATGCAGTGATTTTTCTTCCAAAGAGCTTGGGTACAAGAATCGTTTCTATCTCACTTGCCTTTATGGGGCCTTAATCTAGAGTCTTGTGACTATGAAATCTGATTTGTTTTTATCATTCCTTTCATTCTAAGAACATATTATTTCACATTGAAGCAGGTAAGGCCCAGCCACAGTAACAAGTTCTGTGCATGTCTCAGCAATATTATCTTTCTAGTATTAAATTCTGGCCTTCCTATTAGCAGTTTTGTGCATGACCTAGAGTCTTTTATTAATTTCCTCCTGAAAGAATAATTAGCCTTATCATACACAGATTATCTTTTAAAGGTAACATTTGTTTCTTTAAGACTATCAATGATCCTTTTAAATAATGATTTTAACAAGATTTACACACGCTTTTAAAAATTGCTGTAAGCATACAGCCATTTTGGGGAGGGGGCAGCATGAGTAGAGGGTGAAGCAGATACTAAAGAATGTCCCTTGTGTGAAAAAGAATCACTAAATCAAACTCCAGATCCCAAAGATGTATAGCATGCAAAGCAAAAAGTTAAGAGAATCATCACCTTTGCACTTTGGCTTGGTACTTAATACCGTGTATGGTACACAGTAAGTGCTGGATAAATGTTTATTTTAGTAAACTTATTTTTTAAAGTCCTTTGAAGCAGCAAAAGTATGCCATGAACCTGGAATTGGAAGGATAGGGCTGAAGAATCAGCATCTTCTTAACTGAGAAGAATACACACAAGGAAGAAGTGTCTCAAACAGGCAGGCCTCTGATTGCTATAGCGCAAGTCCTGATGCTCCAGCAGATGTGGCTAAAGTGATATGCAAGTGACCATGGACTGGGCTCAGAGCTCAGGGACACACAGACTGCCAGTGCTGGCACCTCCCATAGAACCTTCCACATTGCTAGGAGGCTTGTATGTGCTTGTTACAGAGACAGAAAAAATATGGGTTTCTTTGACTTTTTATAAAGCAACCTTTGCATTTTTTAAATCAATTCTATAATGTTAAGGGTTTCAAAAGACTAAGGAAAAAAAACAGTTTTCTTGAGATATAATTCACATCCTATAAAAGTCCCCCATTTAAAGTGTATAAGCTTAGGGGTTTTTAGTGTACTCAGAGTTGTGTAACTACCACCATAGTCTAATTTTAGAATATTTGCACCACCCCACAAAGAAACTCAGTACCCATTAGCATTCACTCCCCATATCCCTTCTTCCAGTCCTTAGCTCTAGGCAACCATTAGCCTACTTTCAGTCTCTGAAATTTGCCTATTGCACATATTACATAATAATGGACTCAAATAATATATATCTTTTACAGCTATAATCACTTAGCATAATGTTTTCAACCTCCATCCATGTTGTAGCCTGAGAATATCTGTATACAAGTTTTTGTGTAAATATAAGTTTTCATTTTTCTTTGTGTAAATATAAGTTTTCATTTTTCTTGTACATTATATAGGAGTAGAATTTCTGGGTTATATGGGAATTCTGTGTTTAACATTTTGAAGAAGTGCTAGTTTTCCAAAATGGCTGCACTGACTTCAGCATCCATCAACAACAAATGGATAAGGAAGATACGATATACGTATCTCTCTCTCTCTCTCTCTCTCTCTCTCTCTCTCTCACACACACACACACACACACACACACACACAAACACACACACGAATATTACTCAGCCATAAAAAAGGTGAGATGTTGTCATTTGGGACAACATGGATGGGCCTACATTACAGTGATATGTGGAATCTAAAAAACAAAACAAATGAATAAACAAACAAAAGACAAATCAGGCCTATAAATACCACAACAAACTGATGGCTGCCAGAGGGAAGGGGGTGGTGGGATGGGCAAAATGGATAAAGGGAAGTAAAAGATACAGGCTTCCAGTTGTGGAATGAATAAATCATGGGAATAAAAGGCACAGCATAGGGAGTATAGTCAGTAGTACTGTAATAGTGTTGTATTGTGACAGATGGTAGCCTTGTGGTGAGGGTAGCAGAACACATACAGAGGTTGAATCATTATGTTGTACACCTGAAACTAATGTAACATTGCGTGTCAACTATATTCAAATAAAAAATATATGGAAAAAAATTTAAAAACGGCTGCACTATTTTACATGCACTATTTTACATACCAGCAATGTATGAGGGTTACAATTTCTCCTTACCAACACTTGTGATTGTTTTTTGGATTACAGTTATCCACATCTCAATGTGTCCTAGTATCTTATTGTAGTTTTGAGTTGCATTTCCCCAATGGCTAATGATGTCGATCATCTTTTCACGTGTTTTCTGGCCATTTTATATCTTCTTCCAAGAAACACCTATTCAAATCCTTTGTGTGCTTTTTTAATCGAGTTGTCTTTTTATTAAGTGCTAAGAATTCATTGTAGAGTCTTGGGACACTTGGTGGCTCAATTGGTTGAGCATCCAACTTTTGGTCTCAGCCAAGGTCATGATCTCATAGTTGTGAGTTTGATCCCGCATTGGGCTCTGTACTGACAGCTGTGGAGACTGCTTGGGATTCTGTCTCTTCTTCCCTGCCCCTCCCCTGTTTTTGTTCTCTCTCTCAATCTCAAAATAAATTTAAGAAATTAAAAAATAAAGAATTCTTTCTAGAGTCTGGATATGTCACTTATCAGGTATATAAGTTCAAATATTTTCTCCCATTCTTTGGGATTTGGAACAAAATTAAGTTTAAAGTAAAAGTACCAGCACTTGATTAAACAACGGCAGTTTTAAAATAAAAGTAGAATAGAAATGAAGCCTCATTCATTCACCCATCTAACAAACACTTAATGTGTTAGGAAGTGGGTTTCCTTTCTTACGTCATTTCTATTTGATAGGAAATAATTAATATTTATTTTGTTTGTAAACATTTCCAAAAGTGCCTTATTTCAAAATTTTCATTAGTTAAATCTTTCTGAGTTTTATTAGCAATCAAGTAAGAAATCGGTCGCCCACATGGTGCGCACAGAATCTTTTCAAAAGAACCTAATTTTGTTTCTCTGAAGTACACTGAGGCAGACTTCCTTACCTTATCATTCCAGAACCTTTTATGACTGCGCAGTATTGCAATTACCTCCCTATCTTCATTATCATTAAAGAAAAACATTTTGATAAACTCACATATATTTGTTTAATAGGTGACAAAGTATCTCATATTTAAAATCACAATTCTATTTGATGAGCACCTTCAGCTTATACGTAAGAGTGAACATATTTGTCTTTTTGAACATCATGACAACTATCAGAACCACAGAAAGTATATGTTAAAAGACTACTTTGATTTATCAAATATTTTGTGATGCTTTCTTCATGTGCACTGCGGGAAACTGATACATAAATATGGACTATTCTACAATAATTAAGGCAGTGTTCTTACATTTAACAGGACAAACATGTGTGCAAAGGAAGGAAATAAAATCATTTAACATACACAAATTTTAAACAGATTGTCAGATAGTAAGGTATGAAAGTTGTCAGATCTTGTCTATCAAGCAGGCTCCAGAATATCAACCTCAGTGGGAACTTGGCTTTCGTGGCACTTCTGGATTGGAAATAAGGAACCACAGCATAAAGACCCTCTTTCCACTGATGATCTTTCTCCGTCACTGCTTAGGGATATAGGAATTAGTAACAGATGGAGGCTTTCTCCGCTTTCAGCAGCCTGAGAATACGTAAAATCAGGAAAGAAGAAATACCTTCTACATAGTTACTAAAACCATATTTGCCCATGGAAAATGAATCCTTTTAAAGTAGCTGACTGCCTGCTAATATATAATGAATAACCACTTATTTGGGAATGGGTTACAAGGTATGTTGTGGTTGTCATAGGCAGTGGGAGACACTGTGATTCCTTACCAAGTTTGGTGACAGGAGCGACTGAAAGTGAAAAAGAACACCTGCATTCGCTATCTGGTCCAGCCACCTTCTGCTGGCCTCCCCGGTGTCCATCTCATTGTCTTTGCTGCTGTCAAACATCTGGTTTAAGGCTGCCATAAGCTGCTCAGAGAAGGCACAGACTGTGGCCACAAGACTCTGGCAGAAAACCATGTCTCTTCGGAGCTGTGTCTCACTGTCTGTAACCCAGGAGAACATAAAGACAGTTTTGAAAAATGCCACAGGTAAATAAAACCAATTCATTAAGCATTTATATTTGCTGTTATTTCATCCTTTCACTATACTCAAACCATGTGGAAAATGTGAATCTGAACTCTACTAATGAGCATACATTTTAGCAAATATGCTAAACACCAAAAAAATTTAAAAACCATTAAAATAACTTTGGTTAATTGGTATTGTGACTTTATTTTGCAATCATTGAATTGTTCTACAAAACCCAAGGGAAAAAAGGCTTTATTTATTGATGTGTTTTTTTTTTCTGATGGAACACGATTTGTTTGTTTCATGATACTTCCTAAAGGAAATTCAAAGTTCAATTTTTCAGTTTGTGCTGGCAAATGAAATACATTATTAATACTAAATTTTTTAAGTGATCTAATAAACTTACTCTAATCTTGTTAACATGATACGCACATGGGGAAAAGAGTATTGATATCTGATTGTTTATAACAATAAGCAAATCTGGATCTCTTAGATTCACCTAAGGAAACTTCAGGAGTCGTAAACATGTCCAGTTTATAAATTCTTATATTTCTTTGAAAAAAGTAATGTATTTACAGTTTTAACATATGCTGCTTTTCACCAGGATTCTTATTATGCAACTGGTTGGATTTTTGATGGACCCACACTGAAGGTATGTCTACCCTGTGAATTGCCACTTGGGCCACCATTTTTTCCAAGTGGAAACAAGCTTGCCTCTGAGAACCTGATCACAGGGATTCACTTCTTTGGGTGTTTGGATACATACAAACTCCATGAACTATATAAATAAAAGCCATAAATTCTGTGCACTGAAAAATCGCTTATACTAGAAGAACAATAAAAGTGAAAATACTCATTTTCTTAAAAATGTACTGATTATTTCAAGGGCTCAGAATTTTCTGAAATGAAGAAGCATTGTCAGTATTAGTGTAAAATATAGGTATAAATTTAGCCATTATTTAATGAGTTCTTGCTTTTTTGATAAAAAGGCACGATTTTTAAGTTGTTTAACAAGAACACTGATCATATGTTTTTAATAACCATCAAAGGCATGTGAACACATAATGTAACTGCTATGTATTACCTAGTTTCACTATTAGTAAAAGCTACTCTTAAAAAATTTATGAGAAAAAGGATTGGGTATTTAAAATATTTAATTTCATAATGAAAATATCCACTTATTATGTTGAACTATACAAACTTGCTGCTATACTAGGTCAAAATGGTTGAATATGGCAATTCCATATGGTTCAACTTTTTAACTTAACAACATGTGTTAGACATTTCCCTTAAGCAATTATATACCATGTGTCTCATTCAAATAGATGGAAAAGAGGGTTTTACAGGTAACTGTGAAATAGCCAAACTGAGAAAAAACTGTCTAAGCCTCAATTAAGAAAAAAGCAAAACACTTTTGTTTTCTTGTTGTGCACAATTTTAAAAGTGTTGTGCACTTTTAAACAAAGTGTAGACATTCAGCAACTATTTACTGAATTAATAAATGAAAATGATGAACCAGTAGAGCAACTAAGAAACCAATTAAGTGAAATGAAAATGCATGAGCTCATTCTCTGACTTCTTGAAATGCCTGGATTTAGTTTAACCTAAAAGGATAATTCAGATGGTTTGGGAGCCAAAACGTGTAGCTGCAGTACGGGGTTCAAGACAGAAACTACATAAAATTGCCCTGTATCTTTCTTGTACATTCTTGCTTTGCTTTTCTGTTGTCCTATAGTAAAGCAGAAAATCTGGGAAATTAAAAAAAAATACTAGTAATTTTAGCAGGAATACTCTCACCTATAACCTGAGAATAATTTCACAATAAAAACTGAATCGGAAAGAAATGCTTTATATGAAGAATGGAAAGCTAAGGTCTAGAGAAGGAAGGATCCAGTTCCACTGAGAACTTTAGAAGCGATCACAAGGGTTAATAACTTTGCCACTAGTAGAAATAATTATCTTCAAATTGCTTTGGGGAAGCAATGCTCAAATTTCTTCCCATTTTTTAACCTTAGAAAGAATACTCAGATGTTTATTCTACACTCCACTACTATATTGTATATGCATTTAAAGTCAAATAAAATTTTCATTCAACCTCATTACCAAATCAGATAATGATCACACAAAGTTGTATTTGTTCATTAATTCAAACTTTTCACACTGAATACACCACAGGAATTAAACATGGCACCAGTCACTGGGGGTATGAAGACATCCAAGTTGAGGCCTCGGCCATGTCTGTGCTCACAGTAGAGTCACAGAAGTTGATATGCAAGATGCCCTTGGACCACCAGCCATTTAAATTCCAAACCAACATATTTTTAAATAAAAAATATTTTACAAATGTTTACTACTTCGTGAGGTGATTTTCAGTTGTACTTTCCTATTTTCAAAAGAGTAAATGACTTGTTTGCATAAACTTCAATATGCACATCATATTGAGATTTTCAAATAACTTTTACACATTATCGCTTCCCGGTGAGTAACAAAGGTAGAAAACTCAGAGTGGCAGAAAGGGGTCTTTACGATCTATCTATCCTCAAGTTAGGTTGACAGCTTATGAATGCATTACTTCCCTCCATTCATCCCTACACCAGCAACAATCTTCACAGGCTTGTTGTGAGAATACGATAAATCAATGTATCTGAAAGCAGCCAGGACCCTGGCTGTACAGACCTCTCCTCTTTGAGCCACACACTACTGCTCAGGTTCCTCAAACGCTAAATGCTCTTACAGCTCACGCCTTGGGGCCTTCTGGCTGCAGATACTTTCTCACCCTTTCCATTAGCAAACTTTAAGTCATCTTTAAGAGTCAACTCCTTGAACTACTGAAACCCATTGAACTTAGGAAATATTACCTCCCCTGGTGAAATTTCCCCTCTCCTTCAGGAAGTATCCTGCACTTCTTGATCTGCCACCACAGGCTCGGGGGCATCCCTGTACCAGACGGCTAATTACTCAGCGGTGTGAGAGTTTGTTTATACATTTGGGTTCCCCAAGAGACCATCAAGACCAGCCGAAGTGGCATATAATGTGAATTATGCTCATGGACCTAGAGACATATAATCTGACTTCATCTACCCATTCCATCCATTTTAAACCATATAATCCTAGGTATCAGATTCCCACATATAATGAGGTATTTCTACCTCTTAGACCTACATACAATAAAGATAAATGAGATAAAGCACTTATCAAAGTGAAATTGCATAGCATGATTATTGTGATTCTTCTTTTCTCCAGCATCTAGCAGGGTGCCTGGCACTGAGTGGAGCTCAGTTCTATTGCTAAATAGGGAAGGAACCACACGATGAACAAAGACACCAAAATAAGCAAACTCCCAGCAAAAATGAACAGGTCTTTTCTTATAATTACGCAGCTGTTCAAAATTCACAAGTGTCCATCCTTCCCCAAAACTATTCTCATTCCTCATTTTTATCAATAAGAATTACAGCAAAAACAACAACAGCTGCTTCTAGCTTCTAGCAAAATAAGAAAGGCACGGAGAGCTGTTTTTTTGGTGACAGTTTGTTTACTGTTTTTGCAGAATAAGAATTCTTTTCTAGTGGGAATACATTCAAAACAAATGGATGTTTTACTTATCAAAGGCTTCCGTTTCATTCCAGGATTTAAGCACCTACTTAAATTCACCTTCTACAAACATGTTTTAAAATAGTAACACTTAATTTACTCTCCACTGTTTAAAAAGCTCAAATTCCATAGCTGGTCTAAAAAAGAATGACATGGTTTCTAGACACACAAGTAATCCTAGTCATTATTCTGAGACTGTAGGGAAAAGAAAAAAAAAAGTAACAACAAAGAAATAAAAGAGAGATGAGAGAGACAGAGAGAAAGAGACAGAGAGAAAGAGAAAGTAATAAAAGTGAGCTAAAAACAATATTTAGCAGGGCGACTGGTGGCTCAGTCGGTTAAGCATCCGACTTCAGCTCAGGTCATGATCTCATAGTCCGTGAGTTCGAGCCCCACGTCGGGCTCTGTGCTGACAGCTCAGAGCCTGCAGCCTGCTTCAGATTCTGTGTTTCCCTCTCTCTGCCCCTCCCCTGTCTCTGTCTCTAAAATAAATTTAAAAAACAAAAAAAACAGTATTTAGCAGACACCATCTACCCTTCACCTGTGGAGAGCATAATTCTGCAACCGACAACATGGAGTAATCTGGCTGCATTCTGATGCTACCCTATATATGAGGGAAAAGAAGAGTGAGTAAATAAAGTAGGAAAAAGGAGAATGATGATGGGAATAGAAAAATAAAATTGAAATCAAAATAAGGATCTATAAGAACAGCCATTTAAATACTAATGAACAAAGCAATGTGTTCCAGGACTACTTCTGGAATTGGCATAACGAAGTTTGAGTTTCCTCTGCCACTTACTATTAATGCATTTACTCAATAAGGCATCTAATCTTCCAGATACTCAAAAATATGTGTTGAATGAATACATTTACCAGTTATTATTAATTAGCCTGAATGTTAATTTTTTTCCACATTTAAAACTATGGAAAAATAATATTCTCACAGAGTGATTGTGAGGACCCAAGGAAATCCATAAGTATGAGGTATATCAACTGTGTGGTTATTAGGAAAACTAAAAAAAAGTAGATATTTTGTTATTATTATTACTCAGTCAAAAAAACAAGAAAACACTTCTTTAATTAAAGCAAAAATCAGCCAACAAACAAAAAAAGCCCTCTGGTTAACTTGACTCATTCATTCACTTATAATTTAAATTTTCCAGGTATGATAGATTGTAAAAGACCTCTCCTTCTAAGTACAGTCCACTTCTCCACCCCTTGAATCTAGCCCAACTACCTCTTTGTTCATAAACCAAAGTTAGACCAGTTTCACAATAAATGCCATGTACACAATTAACTTTACCAAAACCTGCTTCCTTCCTCCTTTTTAATTATATTCTGTGTCTGTGTGTGTGTATATATATATACACACATATATGTGTGTGTGTGTGTGTATATACATATATATATATATATATATATATATATATACACACATATATGTGAGAGAGAGAGAGAAAGGGGGAGAGAGAGGGAGAGAGGGGGAGGGGGAGAGGAAGAGGGAGAGGAAGAGAGGGAGAGAAAAGATTTGTATTTTATTTTTCTCCTTTTTTTAAATTTAAATTTTATTTAGTTAACATATAGTACAACATTGGTTTTAGGAGTAGAATTCAGTGATTCATCACTTACATAATACCCAACGTTCATCCCAAGTGCCCTCCTTAATACCCCTCACCCATCTAGCCCATCCCCCACCCACCTCCCTCCATCAACCCTCAGTTTGTTCTCTTTCATTAAGAGTATCCTGTGGTTTGCTTCCCTCTCGTCTCTCCCCCCCGCCCCCCGCTTCCCATATGTTCATCTGTTTTGTTTCTTAAGTTCCACATATGAGTGAAATCATACGGTATTTGTATTTGTCTTTCTCTGACTTATTTCTCTCAGCAAAGTACTTACTGTCTCCATCCACATCATTGCAAATGGCAAGATTTCATTCTTTTGGATGGCTGAGTAACCGTCCATGGTGTATATATACTACATCCTCTTTATCCATTCATCAGTCAATGGACAGACAGTTGGGCTCTCTCCATAGTTTGGCTATTGTTGATAATGCTGCTATAAATACCTGGGTGCATGTACCACCTAGAATCTGTATTTTTGTATCCTTTGGGTAAACACCTAATAGCACAATTGCTGGATTGTATGGTAGCTCTATTTTTAGTTAAATATATATTTATATACATTTCCATGTTTGTACTATAACTGAAGATGAGAATGTTTTGTGTTTTCATTAAAACTAAGTATTTTTTAAAAATCTTTGCAAGGCTTTAGAGTAAGTATGGATCATATTTCCATCTAATCTGTTAAAGGCATTGCTGTGATATCATGACACTTCTAAGGTCTCAGGCTACAATAATTTCAAATAATAAAAATAATGAGAAATATTACCTGAATATTCAAGAAGAGCCAGGAGTATCCTACACTTCACCTCTGCAGAAAAAGAAAGCATAGCAGTTAGTTGTTCAGTCTTTTTTTGCCATTGACACCACATTTTAACTGTGTAGTAAAAATTAGCACAACCTTACTCCATTAGATAATACAAATCCCATTTACTTGACATGCTATTCTTCCTATCTACCTATATAAATTCTATCCATTTCTCAAGATGCTAAAATCCTTCCAGTTCCAAATTAAATTAGTCTGTGAAACACCCTTCAAATTCTGCTTCATCCTTTGTAAGTCACCCTTAGCTGCTGTAGTTTCCATGGTGTTCTCTAAACTCCTACAGCTATTGCGGTCTTGATCAATAAACTCTCAAACGGCATTTTTTCTTAGTTACTTAAACTTTTAAATGTCGTATATGCATTTATAAACTTTATCTATAAATATACATATTTTATTATACATCATATATTAGAATTATAAATTAATTACACAGATTATGCTTGTAAGTTATATAATGTATATCTATATAATCTCTCTATATATAGACTTCCTGTCCTATCTGTATGTCAAGATACTGTCCTAAAGTGCAGAACAATACTAAATATTTCCAAATACTCTTTTTCAGAACACATCTCCAAACGAGGGCAATCACAAATGTTCAATAAATGATGTGTATTAACTTCATACTCATTGCCTTACTTCTAATTAGTAAACAGTTTACTTGCAATAAGGAAATATGAAAATATTCAAAGCTTCTTTATGTGCTAAAGATTATGGGAAATAAAAGGTTAGGTTGCATCCTGTTCCAGACAGGTTCACAATAGAGTCAGAGTGACAAAGTTACCTGATAAGAAATGTAGGAAATACTTGAGAGGACGTTACATTTTACAAAGAAGATAATAACACGAGAATTTCAGAGGCAGGAAAGTATGAGAAAGAGTCAGAAGAACCATCTGTTATAGTCATCCCCTCTTATCTATGTGGGATATGGACTAAGACCCCCAGTGGGTGCCTGAAACCATGGATAGTGCTGAACCCCATACAGACGATGTTTTTTCCTGTACATACCTATTTATTACAAAGTTTAATTTACAAATTAGGCACAGTAAGAGATTAACAAGAACTAATAATAACATAGAACAATTATAATAATCTATTAAGTTATGTGAATATGGTCTCTCTCGCTCTCAAAATATCTTACTGTACTGTGTTCAACCTTCCTCTTGTGATGATGTGAGGTGATAAAATGCCTACATGATGAGATGAAGTAGACATTGTGATGTAGTCAAGCTACTACTAACCTTCTGAGGATAAGTCAGAAAGACGATCTGCTTGTTGACTGTGGTTGACTAAGGGTTAATGAAACCAAGGAATGTGTACCAGCTTTGTGGTATTCGGAAAATTGCTAAAGTACACTTAACCCCTGAATAACAAAAGTTTGAACTGCATGGGTTCACTCATATGTGGATTCTTTCAATAAATACAGTACAGTATTGTAAGTGGATTTTCTCTTCTTCATGATTTTCTTAACGTTTTCTTTCCTTGGGCTTACTTTATTTTAAGAATATAGTATATGGTACATATAACACACAAAATATATATTAACTGAATATTTATGTTATCATATTATGAATATTTATGTTATCAGTAAGGTCAGCAGTAAGCTATTAATAGTTAGGCTTGATGGTGGGGTAGGGGGAGTCAAATGCAGATTTTTGACTGTGTAGGAAATCAGAGCCCCTAATTCTCATGCTGTTCAATGGCCAACCATACTTTGACTTTCAATGTGCTCATTCATAAGTGATGATAACACCTATCTTATCTATTTCAGGAGCCTGTGTAAAAAAATAAAAAGGGATATATATTAAAAGCTTTGGAAAATTATTTAAAGAACCGTGTACCTGTGAAGCATTATTGTTATTATAACCTGGATCTAGCTAAAGTTGTATAGAATTCTAAGTGAGTCCTGAAATGTTTTTAAACATTTTTGAAAGTTACATTGTCAAGGGAGTAGGTACATAGCCTAAGAGTGGGAAAGAGTGCTAGCAAGAGAATACAGTAAAGAATGAATACCAAATTTCCAACAATCTAGCATAGAAAATACTTTATTATATAATTTAGAGACTGAGATTAGGATATAGTTAGATACCCCACTGAAAAATGGCTTCCACCATCAGGCTGATGAGTTTAGACTTATCTAACAAAAATCACTGTAAGGTTCTGGGGCAGGGTACCAGATTATTAATATGATATTTTAGGAAGATGAATATAGTATATAGTAATATATAAACCAGAAAAGATAGAGACAGGGGAGTCACCAGAAAACTATCCTAATTACTGAGGTAAGGAGAAAAAGGGGGAAATGGAGACTTATGATTTAAAAAAAGGAGAAGAAGCTCTTTAGTTGGGACAACAGCAGAGAAAAAAATGGGGAAAAAAGTAAGTTGTTGAAAAAAATGATAGATTTTGAGAAAAGTACAATATTTGTAGGGAGCAAGAGTTGCAAATGTGTTCGCTAATAAACATTTGAATTTAAGGTGATGATGGGTCCAATTCTACCACTAATCTCGTGTGTGTTTTTTTCACCCCATACTACCAAGCAATTATTCAACACTCTCGGGGTATCCTACAATTCGACTCACTTCTGGCATTATTGACCTAAAGGCAGCATCAGATCTCACAGGGCAAAAGCTCAGTCCCACAAGACTGCCTGCCCACCCCCCCACACACACTTCAGGTGCCACCTGTCAACAGGTGTCACCTGTGTTTCTGACTAACTAGCTACAGACTGGAGATTCCAACCACTCCTTCCTTAAGTTTGATCAATTTGCTAGAGTGGCTCACAGAACCCAGAGAAACATCTAAATCACCAGTTTATTATAAAAGGATAGAACTCAGGAGAAGCCAGAAGGAAGAGATGCCCTGGGAAAGGAAGGCATGGGGAAATGGTGCAGACCTTCCATGTTCTCTCAATGCACCACTCTTCTAGAATCCACCTGGACGCTCTTCGAATCCCATCCTTTTGGGATCTTATGGAGGCTTCATTACATAGGCATGATTGATTAAATCATTAGTTACTGTTGACTGAACTAAATCCCCAGGCCCTCTCCCCTGGGTGGGGAGGGGGATGGAATTCAGAAAGTTCCAACCCCCTAATCACAGGGTTGGCTTCCTTGCAACCAGCCCCCATCAGTAGAGGTTTTCCAAAAGTCACCTCATTGACAGAACAAAAGACACCTTTATTGTTCTCCTCACAAAAAATTCCAAGAGTTTTAGAAAATCTGTCAGGGATAGGGTCAAAGACCAGTTACATATTTCTTATTGTAAATCACAATATCACAGTGGGCTAATCAAGCAAAAATATCTTCAGTTGGCTGATAATTTGAGACCATAATTTAGTGTAGCGTTTAAGCAGGAGACAGGCATCAACTTTGTGACACTACACAATGAATCTATCCACCATTTAGCCTACTGTTTTTTCTGCTCTCTTCTGCCCTCAGTTTAGCAGGCTGTGAATGGATGAATGACATAGTGTGATGTAGTTTAGGAATGACACTGTAACAGTGTTTCCTATATAAAGATCATATAATTGTTATGTGTTTATATCATCTTTGATATACACTTGATAGGATATTTTGAAATCAGAGATGAATGAATGATGAGGTTCAGACCCACTATCCCAAAATATGACAATTTATCATACTGAAAATTTAACATGAAGGAATTTGAGGAACAGCAATGTACAGAGGACTCTCTGCTTCTCCCCTGAAGCAGGTCATAAAACCTTCATGCAAGAAGTGCCTTCTCAATCCCAGAGGAAAAGAACATCCTTATCTCAGAACATGGAGGGATACTGAGAGGAACAGGCCTTGCTAAGCTTCCCCCAGTTTATTACCCTTTGTTCATACCCTTTTGTCCTATTCCATTTTCCGAAAATTTTCTACCCTTCATCAAACTTAGTTAAAAAGCACTCAGGTTTAACCATTTTTTTCTGGTCTTCATTTCCTTACAAAGTCTCCCATGTCATGTAAAAGATACTAAATAAATGTATATGCTTCTCATTTGTTTTTTTTGGCTGACTAATTTATAGGATCCCAGCCAGAGAACCTAGAAGGCTAGAAAGAAAAAGATTACCTTTTTCCTCCCTTACAGGAACATCAGAATGGGGTTATCCCAGCTACTTATATAAACCATGAAATGCTGGCAAGCTGACATTATGTTGAATTTCTAGCCAAGACCTAACCCTTCATTAAATAATCCCCTATATAAAGACAAATGGGAAATAGAAAATTACTTTTAAGTTGAATAGGATGAATTCATGATAAACTGGTGAGGACTTAAGATGAAAAGTAATATTTTTAATTAATTAATTATTTATTTTAGAGAGAAAGAGAGAGAGAGAGACAGAGAGAGAGACAGAGACAGAGAGAGAGAGAGAGAGCAAGCGGGGGAGAGGGGCCGAGGGAGAGAAAGAGAATCTTAAGCAGGCTCCATGTGCTCAGCAAAGAGCCTGACGCAGGACTCGATCCCACGGTCTTGGAATCATGAATTGGACACTCAACTGACTGAGCCACTCAGGTGCCCCCAAAATGTAAGGTTTTTTAAATGAGTATCAGTAAAAGTTAAGCTTTTTATATTGCATTAGAAAGTGTTTAAATGTTAAAGATAAAGCTCCTCAAAAAACAAAAGGGAGTACTGGAAGATGGCGGCGTAGGAGGACGCTGGGCTCACCGCGCGTCCTGCTGATCACTTAGATTCCACCTACACCTGCCTAAATAACCCAGAAAAACGCCAGAGGATTAGCAGAACGGAGTCGCCGGAGACAAGCGCAGACGAGAGGCCCACGGAGGAGGGTAGGAAGGGCGGCGAGGCGGTGCGCACTCCACGGACTGGCAGGAGGGCGCTGGGGCGGAGGGGCGGCTCGCCGGCCAAGCAGAGCCCCCGAGTCTGGCTTGCAAAAAGCGGAGGGGCCTGACGGACTGTGTTCCGACAGCAAGCGCGACTTAGCGGTTGGGAGGTCATAAGTTAACAGCTCTGCTCAGAAA